TTTTTTTTTTTTTTTTTTTTTCCCTACAATGCTTGGTACCATGTTATCAGCTGAAGTTCCAAACTATTTGTATCTAACCAAAACAACCAGAATAAACTGTTTTTCAAGTGCACAAATACAAGCAATCTGCACTGAAACAGTCTCATTCTGTCTCAAATCTAGCTTTAGTTTGGCTTTCTTTTGTCATTTCCATGGCCCAAGTGATAGGTTGCAGATYGTTTCAGACTAGAACTGTCTCATTGCTTCCCCATCAGAAAGCATCAAATGTAGGTGATGGCTGACTTGCACCTTCTGGCAACCGGCAGGGCAGATCATGTCACTGGCACAATATTTAGATCCTTAGTGAGAGTGGACCTAAGGATCTACAYAGAGCTAATCTGTCTTTAACACTAGGCCGAATACATCAGTAGTTTTGAAAGGACCCCCTGCAGAACTGGGAAAAAGGGATGGAGGCTGATTCAGGTGTGAAGGAGCACAGCTTCCAGCAGCAAGTCTATCTCATGTCACCGAAACTCCTTTCCAAATTCAACTGTGTGCATTCCACACACATAAAGCAGAAYTGCATCAAGACATACTCCAAAGCACATGAGGTAAATAAAAGAAGGAAGCAGGCTACTGAGATGTAGCTGCCTGCTGTGGCCCAGTGCTGAGCATTGGAAAGACATACTACAGAGATGTACATACACAAGGAAATTTAGGGTTAAGAAATACTATTTTTAGAGTGTGAATTAATCTAAGTGATGTGAGAGAACACTTGTTTTCAGCATTCATTAAGCAAAATTAGCAGGATATTAATATTACATGTGACTATTGCCTTAACATAGTAATTGTGTTCTTTGTGCATCTGGGTAAAAATACACTTCTGATAGAAGCAGTGCTGTATTATTTTATGATGGTGGTTAGCATAAGTTGTTGTTCTGAAGTTATAGCAAAGTTCAGACTGTCTAAAGAGGGATGCAAAGACATCATGTGTAACTTCAAAGAAGTGCCCTTTGTTACTTCAAGATATTCAGTAAACTATGTTAAATACCTTTTTCCAAATTTCGAAGATTAGTAAACATAATAGGAAAGGACATTCACTATATTCTCCAGTTATTGTTATTCTGTGAAGTATTTTTTTTTTGTATTTTAAAAGTATGTAATGACATCAAATACAACAGCACATTTTGGTAGAAAATATTTTTCAGAAGTGCTTTGCTAATCGTGTTCGAAACATTTTTTTTTTAAAACCTCAATAAGTGAATCACATCCAAAGGCTGTGCTATGTAGTTAGGAGCTGCTAATCCTTCATTTTATTAACTTGCCTTAATTAGAGGCTCTTACCCTTTAGCTGTCTTTCAGGTAGTGTGAGGCTGCAATGCGAGACATGTTTGTTGCCTCTGCAGAACTGCCTGAAGAATAATGCATTGTACATCCCTGGTGTAGCTGTTTCATAAGGTCACCTCCCCCACTGGAGCTTGGTGGCCTGCCTAATGCATGTGGAGTGAAGAATGTGCATTAGGCTTTGAGCCAACAAACATTAGCACAGTGGCAGGGAAATGAATCCACACAGAAACCCCCCGGATGCAGTCTAGGAACACAGAAACCTGCCACTGTTAGAAACAAGGTGTTTACAGAACAGGGACCTTTGAAAGAAATTAAAACACAGAGCAACTCTACTTACATAGCAACCCATTAAACAAACCTGCAAAAAACCTGTTGACTCCATTTTATTTCACTTCTTAGTAATATCATTGCAAATAATATTGCCATTAAACAGAATTGCCTCTAACTAACTAACTATTTGAAGAGAAGAAATACAGGTTWAAACACTAATGTTGTGTTCTCTTTGCTGTGTTTTTCCTTCTTAGGTAATCTCTACCAGTGTGTCATTCTACAAAGAGCACTTTCTAACTTCAGGCCTAACAAACATGCTCCAATATCTTACTCCTGAAAATAAGGTACTATTTCCTTGGAGTAACTGCTTCTTCAGGCTGAATTGCAATAGGGTTACACTTGAATAAGGGCTATCTGTACATTTTCTATCTGAATAAAAGACCCCCTAAGAGGAATTCAACAAACAAGACCTCAGTGCTGCAATATCTGCATTTAATATTATGCATGTGAGCCATCTAAATATCCTATAAGTGATTGTTGCATGCATAAGCATTTGTAAAATGGAAAGTGACATATTTTTCATGGATAAGAAGGAACAGAATAGAATTTTGCTTCATTGTTATTGTTGTTCTGGGTTTCTACTTGACTTTCCCCACCCCACGAATTCATCCTATTCCTATGACTTAAGCCATACAACCAGGGATAATTTGGGTTCATTCTCTCTGCCAAAAATGAGCACGTGGGGTAGAGGAAGATGGCAGAGGTGAGAGGAGAGAAAGAGAGAGAGACAGAGGAAGAGTGGGTCCATTCAGTAGATCAACAGATATATATGGTAGAGAAGTGTCAAATCTACCCTTTTATATATTTATGTACATAAGTGCAATGTTTATATGTATACATGTTCATGTGTATGTACATATCAATTGGGTATATGCTAGGTTCAAAAACTCTACAATTTCTCTCTTACGTTAAGGGGACACACAAAAACACTTATTTCATTTACTGATAGCATTTAAGGGATTGCTAATATAACATGCACATGGCATTCTTCTACTATGAATTGAGTGAAGAAAATTAATTTTCTAATGGTTTTTCATTGACTATAAAAATCAATTTCTTGAAAAGTTGAATTCTTGTTACAACCTCAAACTTCTGAAAGCAGAGTGTGGTCAAAACCAGTATTTTGCCACAGATTATCATGATTTTTAAACTAAGTGTTTATAAAACCCCTTGACTAAATATGAAAACAATTTTTAGAACTTAATTAAGGTCACACAAAAAGGCTTTCCTTCATTAATAATTTTAGCTACAAGTGCTGCATTACAAATATCAGCAAAACCAAAATGATAAATAATAAGCTAGAGCCATAACTATTGTACAAGCTAGCTTGCTAGCTTTTAAGACTGATCTAAAAAAAAAAAATAGATGTTGTATTTTCCAGTCCAAAGGAAACAACTTCCCCATTTCAGTGGAGATATGAAAAGTGCCCTCTCCATGCTGCTTAAGAATAATCACTCCATTACTGACAGGTTCAAGAGAGAATTACATGACTCATATTTCCATTCCCTGGGCAAAGGTCCCTTCAGCATCCTACTACGTGTCAGCACCCTGCTGCTGCAGGCACTGAGCCTCCTTCAGAGCTTGTTCTTTCTCTGACAGCAGCCTCAGGCCCTTGCTGAGCTCCCTTTCACCTGCTCACATCTCCACTGCCTTGAAGCAACCCAGCTCCCAGTAAGCCCTGTTACCTGGGAGACCTGGCTATCACTCAGCACATACCTTCTATCACTGCTGCTCAAAACAGGCCCCCTTGCACTCCACTGCTGGCTGCATACTTGATTTGCCTTCCTTTTGTGCAGAAGCTTCACCCACCCCCTGCACAAATTTATTGATGATACCCCTCCTCCTCCCCTGCATTATGGCAGGCACTCCCTAAGCTCACCATGTTTAGGTGATGCTCACAGGTGTTAGGGATTCAGCAATTATTCCCCTGCCATTATCACCGTGTGCTGTGGGCAGTGTCTGTGTGAGAAAATGCCTTCCTGGCCCAAAAGCACCAGACTTTTACCTGCAAAACAGCCCTTTTTGGCAATTTAATTATCAACGTTGACTTAATTTTCAATATTTTTGTTTTCCTCCTATATTCTGTGTCAAAATATCCCTCTTTTCCATTCCAGCATTCCAAAATGTATTTTCAAGATGGCCGTGCAAACACTCTTGCAAATAATCCCCTCAAGCAGCTGTGCCATTTTCTGCAACTTACCTGCTTGCTCTGGAAACACAAGAAAAAAACCCTGAAAATAGAGTCTCAGCTCCTAGTAAAATGGCTGATCTTACTTTTTTTTTTTTGCTATACTCTCTTCAGTAATATCAACAGCAAAATAACATGAAGCATAGATAATTGCTATAAAGAAAATTTATACATTAGTATATTTATACATGAAAATCTGGTTTTTACAAGCTCTGTGTATTTTCATTTATTTGAGCAGCAAGGATAACTGCTTAACATTTCTGGAAATATGGATGATATTGGACAAGAAATCTGAAGTAAGATGTTCCATGCAATTAGGCAGGGTAAAAAAACCCAAACCCAAGCACTGCTATGTTAGATTTCCCAGAATAACATTAAAATCAAAAGCTCAAGAAGTATTGTATCTTTTCTGTGTAGAATGAAAGATAACAAAATTCTGATAAATAGTTTGTTACTCCATAATATCAGTACCAAAATATTGCATGGCTGCAATAAAAGTAAAATAAAAGACTCAATGGGAAAGCTTAGTAATATACTAAGAAGATCCTGTTAAAACACAGATTGTACCAAGGAAACAAGAAAAAGCAATTGTAAACAGTAGGCTGGGAAAAGCACTGTTCAGTGATACAAGGATGTGTATTTTTCTGCAG